CTACTTCTACTTCTACTTCTACTACGGCTGCCACTGCTACTGTTGCTAAAACTATTCCTCATCGTCCTCCTGCTGTTCGTACTACTGCTACTACTACCACTTACTACGACAACCAGCACCAGCACCTGTAACACTGCTTCCGGCTGCTTGCCATTGCGCGGCGAAAGACTCTTAACGGCTTTAAGCGGCTTCTTCAGGCTTGTCAGTAATGATGACTTCCTATGTTTTGATTTACTATATACTATTTTTCCAACCCTCTCCGACGCCCGCACTCGGCATATACTATATGAGATTATATTGGTGGGCATCGAACTGGGGTCCCCACCTACCAGCTTCGCCCGCTTCGAGGCAGAGGCCTGCTTCATCGCCGTGGTGCAGAGAGAGTGCCATAGGCAAGCATTCAGAAAGCTACCGTTTGAAGCACGTGCTGTGTTCGTGCACACACTACTACAAGCGCAAAGAACTAACGTGCTGAGCCGAATAAAACAATAGCATAATAGCCTAGAGGTTGGAGACCATGGTCATGGTCACAAGGATCGCATCCCAGATTCCAGTGCTTCCAGGGCGCCATCGTCACTGCCGCAGCCAGGCCACCCACTGCGAGGAAGGAGGCTGTGGAGCTGGATGATGCCTGGCTTTAGGGCAACGGTCGCTGGGTCTGAGGTTGTGCGCTTTGAGTTTTATAGTGATGGATCTCTACCCAGGAACGTCATCCAACCCAGCAGCACACCACCATGACAGGTATTCTGTAAACCCGGTATTTTGAGGGTACATTGCAGAACAGTTGCAAAGACGGCCCGCTTGGTCGAATTCAGGCTGTTTCTTCTGGAGTTGTGACAACTACCGTGATCAAACTTGATATCAATAATCGAAGAACTGCGGTTTGTGCAATGATTCTGATTTTGCTAATTGCTGCCACCACTAATAAGAAAAATCATGATAATTCCCATTTATGACGATCGCTGCTATCACGGAGCCTCTGCATCAGGGAAGGGCATGCGCGCGCCGCCAGTTTGCGGCGTCGGTCTGCACGTGAGTGTCAGAGCCAGAGAAGGTGTGAGCAGACAAGCAAATCGAGTCTCTTTGCAAGCAACTTCAAGTTTTATAGGGTAAAACAACTTTCCTGACGCCTTCAACGAGTCTAAAGCGTTCATGTACAAGCATGGCAATGAGCTTTGGGCCTGCTCCGCGGAGAAACCCCAAGGGCAAAGCTCAAGTTCCACCCGCAAGCCCTGGCACGTGCATCTGTGGAAAGTCATCACAGGAAAGTTGGTCTGCGTCTAGGAGTGCCCACAACAGATCAGCTCACACAGCAGTCATTACAAGGCTGATTAGCAACTTACGGAGTGGCTCTGCTGGTTGTACTTATTCTAGTATTCTAGTATTACCAGCGTCGCTTGTATTAATAATAGTAACGCTGAAATATCACGCTCAGATGGCAAAACTGAAGAGCACTCGAGCCAGCAGGGCCATGCCAGCAGCAGAATGGGCGCAACCAGTAAAAGAGCTGCTGGCCTGAACACTTCGGCAAATACCCACTTGTTACATCTTAGCACATGTCGGGGTACATTCTGATTTGTATATGAACTGTGGTCTACTCCTCTCGAACAATCTGACATGACGCAGGACAAATGCTGTGCTTTGAGAGTGTCTTTCCTTGCCTGGGGCCACGATGCCTGGCCTTCACTGCCATGGCCTCAAAGAAGCTGTGTGGCTCTGTTGGTATACTTGCGAGCTACTCATGACGAGACGGCTGCTTAGGCACCCCACAGAAATCAATCGCCACGACCGGGGGCCACGTCCGAACGCGGGAAGCACTTGGGCCCGCGTGGATCATCCAACATGCAAACACCTCAGCCCGCCTGCGTCGAGGGCAGGAAATCCGCCGGCTTCGGGTTTGGGCTTGCCTACCTAGAAGCCAGCTCCGTGTCCTTCCTCGCTCACTTATCAAGGTCCCCACATGTCCCCACCATCTTTTTCGCTGCAACTCTCAACACCCAACTTTGCTTGGGGCCTGAGCTTTGGGGCTCAGCTATAGATGCGCTTCGGGCTTGGAGCTCTGAGGGTTAACTTCTTGGTACCGAGCTATACGGTGCGGAGTCTTTTTATCTGTCCTGACCTGCAAGAGTCGGCTCCATTAACAGTCGGCAGCATGTGCGACGCCATCTAGCAGTGCGTGATTATCATCGCAATCACTCTTGCGAGAGTCACCATCGCAATTGAAACATGTACGGTACACTACAAAGCTACACTGTATGGAAGTCATACTCGCACATGGCATAGTTATTGAACACATGCAATACGAAATGAGACTCATCGGTTCAGTCACCTCGGGTCTGCTCAGCCAATCTCTCAGAGATGACCTGTGGTGAAGCAGGTTCCCTTCTGAGGCTTTGGGTTCTAGGCTTTTTTTGCCTCCTACTTAGCAAGGACGTTCTAGGCTTCAGTGTGTAGGCTTTCAGGGCTCAGGGTTTGTGGCTTCAGGGTTTGGGACCCCAGGGTGTCGGGAGTTTAGTTGCTGTGCCCTGCACCTGTGGATGACACCTTTCTTTCCCTGCACTTCTGTCATGAGCTGGTGCAGATGTGGACTTTTGCTGGACGTAAGATATGTACAGACCTCCAACCTCTCTGCAGCTAAACAAAAGCAATTGGGCTTCCAGGCGGTTGAACAAGCAATTTACTTCTCCGCTCTGCTGAGCCAAACAGCGTAATGTGAAAGTAAAGAAGTTGTTCTACCGCCAGGTTGCCAGGCGCAATACTGAATGCAGGTGGCTTAAATCAATTGGTCCGGAACTCTGTTCTCTGCTCTCAGACCTGAACCCACGACTTCAGACGGTACCTCAGCACACTCTAAGGCAGCTTATGAGAAGAGGATAGAAGAGGCGTCTCGCTGACACTGGACACTCTGAGAGCTGTTCGTTTCCGACAGTCACGTTCTCCACTGTCGCCGCCAGAAAGGAAGGACCGTCATGACTGCCATGACCTTCCTCAGTTGCTAGGCCGTGGACCGAACGACGACTACAGCGCAAGCATGTCAAGGGACGAGGGGCTGGTCCGTTCGGGTCCACTTTGATTTTGTGTCCTCTCTGATGCATGACGAAGAAGGCATACAGAAGCGTAGCAGCGCTGCTCACGTAGGCAGGGAGGTCCGCATCCTGCACACCGCAGAGCAAGCGAGCTAAGTCGCTTGCAACTTTGTTGTATGTAATATTGCCTATATATTTATGTATCCATCCATCTTTCTACCAATCTACTTATCAATCAATCAATCTGTCTATCTGTCTGTCTGTCTGTCTAAGTATATACCTATGTGTATACTGTATACATGTACTGGACATATATTGACAACAAGTACTTTATACTGGTGCATATACACAAAGCAATATCTCTCTCCGTAACCTAAACACATAGCATATCACAAACAGTCCTATCCATTGGTATACTTCAACACACTTACGCATACTAGGTTAGTATATATTTGAATGTGTATAAATAAACAATATATATATATGTATATATATATATATATATGAATACAGTTCTTTATACGGTAGTCTGTATCAGTGATTATATATAGACTTTACGGCAATTAGATAAATAAGTACGCACATACAACGTATGCATGTGTATATATATATATATATATATTATACACTTGCAGACATAAATACAAACGAATATACATGTATATATATATATATAGACATAAAACTGTATGTATGTGTGAGCACATGCATCTTTGTGGCTGCTAGGCCGTGAAACTGAAGCACACCCCGCTCCAGGGCCAGTATGTACGAGTCATTTTGATTTGAGACTCTCCGAATGATTCAAGCTTCTCCATGTTGACGAAATGGGCTCGGGTTGCCCTAACTCCGCAAGACTACTGTCTTCGAACCAGTTACCCGTTACCTCCCATCACAAGCGACAGGCGTGTCTGCAAAAAAATCGCCGTTTCAAGGCCTTTTTCTTGGCGTCCACCAGCCAGAGGTCGTACTGGCCGTGGAAGTGACGCTCTTCCAGCACGGAGGAGGCAAGCTCCCTGCGCGAGGTGATATTCCTGAAGCCGATAGATTCGAAGCCATTCTGCGTTTCTTCGGCGACTGCAATGAGGGTGTCACCCTTGTAGATCTTGTAACCTCAGGTAACCCATGAGTCAAAGATGCCTGAAAGGCTTGCTAGACGACAGAACCAATGCTCAAACTCAAGGCAGCATGAGCAAAAACTGACAGAACTCAGCCAAAGCGGCTCATCGCCTGAGTCATACCCAACCACCTGAGATCGTCGCGTACTCAACATGAGCAAGCAACTTCCCGTGGCGGATGCGAGAATGTTGAATGAAGCTCTTAACAGAGTACATCGATACCTGTTAGTGCCAGGCCCTCGAGGGCACAGTGCTGGAGACTTCCGACAACGGAAGTGGCATGAGACGAAGCAACACCCTCGTATGCATGTGTGAATGAGTGTGTGAATGAAAGGTGAAGCAGTCTAACACACGAATGGATGCTTACATCTATCGCTCTATCTATATACGGACCTATTGGCCTATCTATCAACCTGTCTTCTTCAATGCATACCCATATGCAGGCATGCATGCACACATGCATAACTAGACATCTTCCTTCCTTCCTTCCTTCCTTCCTTCCTTCCTTCCTTCCTTCCTACAGACATACATGCATGCAAATTTGCATACATGATAAACACGGACACACGCACTCAGGCACTGCCACACATGCACGCACGCACGAACAAATAAACATGCATACTAACCTAACAAACAAACAATAACAAACAACAAACCCACCCACAAACAAGCAAGCAACCAAGCAAACAAACGAACGAACGAAGGAAGGAATGACCGAACGAACCGACGAACAAACAAACAAGCAAACAAACAAACACACAACAAGCACACACACACACAAGCGAACAAACAAACAACCACAGAGAAAAAAACACGTGCACACAGACACAACTGACATGTTCCACCAAGCAGCTTTCTGAAGCGGTTCGCAAAGTAGTTCGAGCCCTCCGAGATGGTGTAAACATCTCCGCTGCCGTCACATCTCTCGATAACATGGCACTGCCCCAGTCGGATCAGCTTGCGTCTCATCATGACGGTGGGCTGTGAGTTCGCAACGTCCTCTCCATGTTGCGTTCACACAGTAATGCCGTAGAACATGTTGCTGACACCAAGTAGGCAAAGAACCGGCTGCCCGTCCTCGTACATGTATGTGTTAAACAAGGGCCCAGTGGTCCGCCACCAGGTGCCGACAGGTGCGCCTGCGACAGTGGAGGCCTCGTGTCAAGTGCTCGCAGTGGGCATAAAACGTATATGGAACAGGGGTTGTAAACGCGCACGACCAGCTGCATAGCATGCCTGAACAAGCGAGCTCTACTCTTGTTGTAAAAGTAGCTGCCCGGGCCTCGTTCGAAGGGATCACATCAAAGGCATCGCCATACCACATTGGCTTACGCTCGGCCAGAAGAGAGATCATGGGCACCAGGTTGAATGCCTTACCACCTGAAGCAAAGAGATTGAGAGATTGATCTCTGGGTCATATTAGGGCCATATTCGCAGAAAGCTGAAAGTGTACGTAGCCTTCTACTTTGTGTCATCCAGTACCACAAGTGATGCCCTGACAGTTAATCTTCGGGTTCATCAGCAGCAACTCGCAACATAGCTTGAAGCACCTAAAGGGTTAAAGCCGGGGAATTTGTACAAAACGTAATGTGCGATAGTTCGAAAGCCCTGGGCCATTCGAAGGTATCGACATTGAACCTCCTCCACCCTGCTGATGGTTCTATCTGCCCTGCCAGAGTGGCTTGTTTCGTCCCGCCCCTTGTGTGATCCATACTACCCACTGCCACTGGACCCTTCAAGTAAGGTTTGTCTGCTCTCCGACGGCCACCGTCCAGAAGGGTTGTGTTTTGCTCCGCTCGTTTTTGGCTCCACAACCATGCGGCGGCAGGGACCTCTGGCCGAGATGGTGTGTTTTTGCTACTAAGCCCCCTCTCGGTGTTTGTTTTTCGGCTCCCCGTAATCAATAGGAAACATCACTGTTTGTCCACTTCTAGACATAATGCAGTCGGCGCAGTTGAAGTCTGAAAAGCCTCGCAGGGGCCCAGGGGCTCTCCACGAATCAGCTATCCGGCGCCCTGCTCTCTTTGATTTAGTTTTAGCACAACCCGATTCCCGCGTTCCCACAAGGCAACAACGAGGGCTGTGCCTGGCTCAAATCCACAGTGCCGGTTGAAGGGCCAGCAATGATTGCCACGAGGATTTGTAGAAACGCATTTGCTCTACCAAATGGTTCAGGAAACGATCGAACATCTTTGCCAACTGCAACCCAAGCATCCGGCGTCATCTTCACCTCCTCCCGGATAGTCATAGTCTTTAAGCCGATCAGGAGAACAGCCAATGGTCGCATACTCCCACACAATTGCTTGCACTATCCAAACTAGGACGAAAACGACGGCCAAAACCTTATGCACCGCCACGTGAGTTGGGTCGCAATGTCGTCAAGGTCACGGGTGCCGTTTCAAGTCTCTCGTTTGTTAACGTGCCGTCCAGTCGCTAGTGCCAGGCCCTTTGCCAGAGACTTGCATGTCCTCCGGCACCAGCCCTTCACGCCGTCCTGCTGTCAACGTTGATGTGATGCCAGAACGGGGTGCTCAGGCAGTTGGTCCGGGTGTATGGCTATGGCTTTGGTGGGACCCCAATCACTCCTCACCTAAACTTCCTATGATGGGCGAGGGACGGCCAGGGGTGCCTTATGCGATCAGGCGCATCGGATTGAGGAAGATCAGACAGGTGATTCGTGCTGCGAGTACTACTTCGACGGCATGCAGAGGACAGGGCAAACGATCACACAACCTTGAGTCATGTGGTTTAGAGTTTAGAGATGGCATTGCTTCACCCGAAGTCTGCGCAACGGCTCGCCTCCTGACCATCCGGGAGCAAAGGCTCTGCAGAAGCCATCCTAACGCCTGCAGGATGTTGCTGTCACCCTTCGGGCCTAGATGGCTATCGAGGCCCTTCCGCAAGGTTCTACAACAAGGTGGACATCACACGAGCAGCTTTGCGCTTTCGAGACGCCGGCTCCATGCAAATATGTCCCTGGCGGCAGAACTCCGTACGTCGCCCCAGTGCGTCCATAGCAGCTCCGGCAGCTGGACATGTCGCTGCTAGGCTCTAGCTCTCGACGCTGCAAAAAGGAAAGCAAGAACGCCGATGGCACACATGGTATAAAACATGTCGGAACGGCCGAAGATGCTTGCAGTCTCAGAAAACTTCTGAACCTCAGGGGAGCAATGCAGGACACTGACAGTTCCTCGCAGTGTCTGTAGCTTTCTAAGGTGGTGGCAGTCTGCTGCACGGAATCTGCCAGCTTTGCAAAGTCCTGCTGGACTGCAGCGGCCACTTTCAAGCATGGGGCACGATCGTTATTAAGTAGGATTTAATTAATGGGACCTACAAACAGAACTGAACCCCAAACCCCTAAACCCCACACCACCACATCCCTAAACCCCTGAACTCTGACTCTGCACCCCTAAAGCTCCTCAAACCGTTAGTCTACTGAAAGGATCATGGGACTTGGTAAGTAGGGTTATAACTAGGGTAACTATACTTATAACCCCAATTAAGGGACTTAGAACCTTACTTACTAAGTCCCATGATCCTTGAGTCCCTTATTGGGGTTATAAGTATAGTTACCTTAATTATAACCCTACTTACTAAGTCCCATGATCTTTAGCACCCTAAACCATTGTAGACCCCTCATAGAACCCTTTATAAGGAACCCTTTAAAGGCCCCTTTAAGGGCCCATGAGCCCCCAAGTACTCAGTGTACTCGGCTCCAGGGCCTCGGACTCCTCTTCGCCAGCCGCGGCTCTTGGGTGGGCCGAGGCCTGGTCGGAGGCTTCCCCGAGGCTACAGGTGGCTTTCGAAGAGTAGGGCTTAGGGAGTTTAGGGTTTAGGGAGTTTGGGGAGTTTAGGGTTTAGGTTTAGGGAGTTTAGGGTTTAGGGAGGGGTCCAAAGAAGCAACCTCACAGTCGCAGGATCCTTGTTCAGAAGCACCCGGGCCTCTTGCGAGACGCTTGCCAAAGCCCTGAACTCCGACCTCGTTTCACCAGATCTGAGCCCGGGACCCTGCACTGCGCCAGGGAAAAAATCTGTAGACTTTTGAATTTGGGGCTCTGGGCGGTGGGGCTTGAGATTACTTGGCCCCAGGCGCTGTCTCCATGGGGGCCTGCTTGCAGAACCTCTATGCGGCCCAGGAACAGCATCAGGACGCTGCTCGTGTACAGATACTGGCAAGAACGCGAAAACTAAGCACAAGCTTAGGTCATCCACGCGCATGCAGCTGCCAACGTCTCTTCCATGATGGGCCCAAAGTGCATGACCTTGCTGAAAAGGAGTTCTCCTCCTAATTATCTTGAAGATGAAAGGGAAGAGACACCAACTTAGGCGAATCACCGTGATGCTCGGGTCTTCCTGCTTCCGCGCTCGCCAGTTGGAGTGCAGGCCTCTCATGCTTCCAGAGGCCCTCCAAATCGATAGTAGCACTCTGGCACAGCAAGACGAGTTCCCCACGTGCCATCACCTCAGGCATCTTCAAAGTGAAAATGTATCGAGCCGGAAGGCTTGCACTGTCTCTCAGGCGCGCGCAGCTGCATGCAACTCGCAGAAGGGCCTCGATAGGACGAATCAGCGGGTTCTATTTCCGCGAGATTTGATATCCACCGCTCTTGCTCGTTGTAGATCTTCCTTCTTTAGGCAATTTCTGCTGCTCGGGGCATTGGTAGACGGCCAGGTTCTTGAACAGTAGACTGGTGAAAGATGGCACGCCATCTTCTGAGGTCATTGGTCTCGGGGTCATGTTCCCTGCTGCAAGGTGGCTACTTGCCCCTCCCAGACTTTTTGTGGTGATGTATGCGTACAGTTCACGGTCATTTCTGCAGAAGCACTTCGAAACGAGCAGATTCTAGAGGTGTTGTCTGACGGTAACCGTCAGCAGCTATGAACATGACGCCATGAAGCACCGCATGCCACCACAACTTCCCGGCTTTCCACGCCGCATTGCGCAAATTCCTCGACTCACGGTGCTGTCGACTCTGAGGTCAAGCGCTCAATCGTAGGCTCCTTGCTTTCGATCCGCTGCCTGCAGAGGCCCGGAGGCCAAACCGTGCTGCTGCGCGTGAAGCCACGAACCAGACTCTTAGACATTACACATCCGGTCCTGGAGCTCGCCAGAAGCCTTCAGAATAGACAGGCAAATGTGTCTGATTTGGAGCCTCTTGATCGCAGAGGGAACTGTCACTGCATTCACTGCTAAACCGGTAGGTTGCTCGCCTGGCAAATCTGTGAACTACGCGAGGGGATGCGCTCTGCATCCCAGAGCCTCGCCAAGCGGGTGCACAAAAGTGCTTACGGCCAAAATCAGCAAATGTGCTAAGCCCAGTAGTCCTACCTGTCATGACCGGTGCAACCGATTTCCTCGTCGCATGTGTGATGGAATCGAACATGAGCCGGAAAGTTTTTGCAGCCGAAGGAGCCCAAGCCATCCTTGACAAGCTGCAGATACCTCTGGAAGGGAAGGTATCAGGAAGGCTTCCGAAAAGGCTTCGAATGCAGTGGAGCTTGCGGGCCTAGCCAAGTGCTGTGTGATGTTGATGCTCGCCACAGCGAACGGATAGTCGATCCCATCGCTTTGGGCCTGTGTCAGAGCCCGGTGCCGTGAAGCGCCGGCATCGCCTTTCTGTTGCCGAAGCCTCACGGACCATTTGGCTCGTGGCCAGGGGATACCTGCCAGTGTCAGCCCTGCGCTTTTCCACTAACATCTGCATGCACAGATTCAGCTTGTCGTTGGCGCGCATTTACAATGTACGGCTCCAGCCATTGCCAGCGTCGACATGGGCACTGCATCACGAACTCACTCTCTATAACGACCCGAACTGCGAAGCCACGTGGCACACTGTTTTTCCAGCTCGAGTGGTGCTCGGCCCAGCAACGGCAACAGTGACAGCAGCAGCATCAGTGACAGCAGCGGCAATGTCAGAGCACCACGTGGCTTGTTGGTCAAATAGGCTGAGTATCAGCAACATTCGAGCACTAGACTCTCTAGACGGTATGGCCGGCAAAAGTTCGACTTCTTCCACGAGTGCAGCGCACTGCTTCGCGTTGTTATTTGGCTTAAGATGACCGCAATGCCAGAGCCGTATCTTTTTCGTGAGGGTGCTGGTCAAGTTAAATCCGGGCCGCCAGGATTGAATCTAGAGTCTGTAGGGAGCCTCGGGTTCAGGGTCGAGGACTTCTTGCTACAAGTATCAGCTGCTGCGTTTGTTCTTCTGGCTCCTGTCCGTTCCCGCGTGTGCTCGTCATCGTTCCGCCAAGTTTAGGACCAGGACGTCCCAAGTAGCTATGGGACATTGTGGGCATCTCAGCAAGAAACGACGATGCAACGATGCTCCTGGGCGCCTCTAGAGTCAACACGTTTCGGATTCACCAGGCCCAGGTAGTCGAGGCTTCAAATTACGGATTCAAGTCGCCGTAGGGTTTAATCTTGAACTGAGGCAAGGGGCTGAACCATCACGGCGTGGTCGTCCCGAACATGGACTCCACAAAAGCTCCCTTTGCTGGGATAGAACTGCCGAGTGTCCAAGTATGAGGCTTCAACTGAACTGCTTACGGGCGAAACCAAAAAAACACATGCAAGGACGCTAGAAGCCTGATGGGAGCCCCTGGCCATGGGATGGGATGTATACCGAGTCAGACAGCAAACTGAAGAATGCGAACCTCCCAAGGGCTGAAATGTCAAACAACCAGATGCGTAGGAAATTTGGGAAAACGGAGTGCTGCACAAGTCAGATTCTCAAGTAAAGGAGAACACCATGTTGCCCGATGTCACAGCCGTAAAGGCAAACATCATCCACCAGACTGATTGCTGCCGCCTGCCGAGTCCCAGATGAGACTTTTGTTACACGGCGACGCATGACCCATGGCGCGAGGTCTGGAGCCCTTCTAAAGGATCCGTGTCGGCGTGTGGCCTGAGGCCAGCGGCTGTCTGCAGCCACGCACCCTCTCGCAAGCCAGACCGCCCAGCATGCCGGGCGGAGACGCGGCGCTCCTTGTTTTCATGGTCTGAGTTCACAGGGCTGGTTCCCATTGCAAAACCAAATCTCAAGAGCGCTGCAAGGGTCAACTGCCTGCCAGGCCTCATCGCTGCGCACATGCCTGCGCGGAAATTTGCCAGAGAACTGGCAACATTCCGCACAGGCATTTCCACGCGAGTGAGGCCTAGCAGGCACCTTTCGCCATGCCATCGTGCACGTCATCTAGAGGAGGAAAGTCGGGAACGTGACGGAACTGGTCGCCAGCATTCTTCTCCATGTCATGTCGCCCACGACAGCCGCAGCGTGCAAAAAACCCTTTTTGGCTCGCTGCGGCTGCGCTTTCTGCAATGTGCCACCTGGTGATTAAGGTGAATACGATGATCTGATCTGTCCAAGCTCAATTCGACGCGCAGCTATGCACCCGGAATACGTTCCTAGAGTATCAGTGATACTCCAGGAACGTATTCCGGTTGCATACCTGCACAACGAATTGAGCAGATCATCGTATTCAGCTCCGTCCAATGTAGTGCTTGGAGAGGCTCGTTGGCTTGGGGTGGAAGGGGAGGCGGTTGAGGCTGGAAAGCTTCTGCCGCTCCCAAGACAAACAAACCGAGGCTTGAACACCGCCCATCGGTCTGCAGAGGCCCTGGACACCGTCTTGATGTATCATGTTCTAGTTTCTACATGTCGCCACTGCTGCCTATGGCAAGAAAACTCCTCAAGGCAAAGGTGTGTAGCTGCGGTTTGCTCGTGTTGCTAAGTACCCGCTGCAGCATGCTGCACCTATCTTTACCTCGAGGTTGACAGGAGATGCAATGCTAGCGAAGGAACTGAGAAAAAAGCTGTGGAGATGAATTCCTAAAGCCTGCAAACACATGGATAGCATGAAGCCTTGTGCTCTGCATAGCTTGCATTCTCAGCAGCGTGGAGAGCTCAGATGGCCCCAATTAGTGGCAACATGCTGCAGGAATCTATGGGGAATGTACAGGAGGAAAGAAACGAGAAACGGCTAGCATGTGAACGAGTTGTCAAGCAGAGCGATGTCGGAAGGATGCGAGTTGCGCCGAAGTCATGGGCACCGAAGCAGAAATCTCATACTTACATTCGGTAACTTCTGCACCCACCTTTCCGAGGCCAACAACAACACAAGCCTGGACCAAAGTACTGTCGCAGCTGTGGACTCGGCCTCTCTGCCATGTGGACTAAGCAGTCGAGCCTCGCATTCTGAGACCGCAGGGCTGACAGCTGTGCCACTCTAGCTCGAAGCACCCTCAAGAGCCTCACCCTCCAAAATCGTGGGAAACTTCAACCGTAAGTTCCGTAAACCCAAACCCGACCGAGTCTCAGCACCGCTTAGACGCTTAGAGTCGAGTTCAGTCACCCTTTGAGTTCCAGGCGCCAGGATTCCAGTGCGGAGGTCTGAGCGAGGATCGCAGGACTGGAAGCCAAGCTGTCTCCACCTCACCCGCTCCGAAGATGCTGGGAGTCTGTAAGTCTCAGAAAATCAGAATACTAGGCATTTCACTGTTTCGAACCATCGTGGGCGGTGCGCCCGGTGCGCAGTGCAGATAAACGCGTAAGTGACGTTTCAGAGCCGTGCCTTGGGGATGTAGCACCGAATCCGGCAATGGACTCCGGGGGACAAGGACCTGGAACAACTCCCGCAAAACGGCCATTGCAGGCACTTCCATCTGCGGCGCCGGCGTGACTGCGCCGCGGCCACCAGCGCCGCGCCTCAGATCAACAGTATAACTCCCGTGGGGTTTCATATGCTTAATTAACAATCTTTTTACACAATATGTTGACATGTAGTGTAATACATGAATCACTAAAGACTATGAGGAAGACGTATGTAAACACATCGAACATAAAACTTCACTGAGGCAGTCCAAGTGGAAGACGCCTTCGATGAAAGAAAACTTAGGGTCCCGGCTGAGGCGCTGCAGCAGGCTCTCCAGCTCTGGTGCCTCCTGTGCCTCGATGTTCTAAGCAGTAGAAGGGGCATCCCGAGAGACGCAGCAACACGAAACAGAATCCCACCGGACAGCTGGAAGACCTACTATCTTCAAGCCGATCCATGGAGTCTTCCCAGGTGTTCCCAGTAGAGCACCTTCTCGTTCGCACGGGCTTTCAAGCCCAAGAGAGCTTCACGCCTGTGACAATGAGCACCAGTCCGGGTGAGCACTGTGGCACCCAACAAGCGGCAGCCTTTTTAAAAGCCTCTAATCCGCGTGTGGCTTCTGTTCCCCAAGTTGGTCAGCAGCTTGAAAATTTGCCGCCTGCATCACCAGGATCGTGCCGTGGCTTGCAGGGGACACAGCCGCTGATTCGCTTGAAACGTTAAACAACTTGTCTCCATGCTCTGAGATGGCTCCTGTACTGCGAGGTATTGGTGCCCAGGTTCTGCCCGACAGGTTGGAATGTGTCAGAAGTCCGTCTGAATCGTAGAAAGGAGCTGACCGGTTACATCACAAGCCTTAACCATGCACGAATCAAAAGACTTGCAAACCATAACTGGGCAGCAATGCTGACATCGGCCGAAGCTTGGCTGTCGGTCAAGATTTGAGAAAACACAGTGACTATAGGCCACAAAGTTGCACGTTGCACATTGGCAATCCAAAGCGGACAGCGCGTCCAGAACGATTCTCTGAAGGGGAGGTTAGTTGTAAACAGGTAGCTTATGACATATGACCTATGACTCCTGAACTCCTCAGCCTCCAGACTCTTTTACGAAGACCTTCGTGACAGCCGGATGAAAAAATCACTCTACAAGATTCGTGAGGCGCGTTGCAAGATGCTTCAGGCTCCGGATGGCGCCAGCAGGCTCCGTCAGCGCTGCTGCGTACTCTACATTTGCTAGCACCGTGCCCTCGGTCATCTCCTTGTGCAGCTGCAGCAGTGCAGCAGCGGCCTAGAAAGCAACAGCCGGGAACACAGTCTCCCAGAGTGTTCTCCCCAAACAGATCTTCCAGGCCGAGCGGCGGCCTCCTCGAAGAGTGCCTGAAAAACTCAAAGACAGACACGAGACACTCAAGTTCTTGTCATGTTCCTTGCCGCATGTTATGTCGCAATATAAGCAAAGGCAGCACGACAAGAGTCTACCTGTAGAGCCACGCTTGTGCTGCCAAGACACAGAGTGAAATTTGCTGCAAGCAGACAAGCTAAACGAGTCCACAAGTGAAGCATGTGGCCAGCGAGGATGCGGATGATGCATGGCTGGCAGTCCAGGAACTTGCTCAGCCAGCTTTCGCCTCAGTGGCAAGAGGCTGTCAAACCATGCCTGAGTCATGAGCCTAACCATCAGTGCATCTGCAGCAAAGCCACAAAGTTGTCTTCAGAGTGAGCGGCCAGCCGGTCGCCTGTCCGAGAGAGGGAATTGTCTGAGTGAGTGCATCTGCAGATTTACCTTGGTTCAACCGCATGGAAACACTTCGCGCCTGGATCGACGATTGCAGCGCTAACACCCCTTGGAGGCCTGTCGCTTCTGTCAGGCAGTTGCAAAGCAGCTGGTTGACTGTCTGAGCCTCGCAGATCCGTAATGGTGCGGCCACAACAAAACTTGGTACGAAGTGTTATGTATGTGCCATTTCCTGCTTTGCATGTTTCTCTCTGTGCCGCGGAGTCCTGGATGGTTCGGTGGGAGTCCACCAAACAGAGTCGACCTCGGCTTGCGAGCAAAACTGCAGGGAATCCGCAAAGGCATATCTAGCTTAGGTCTGATATCATTTACATTATATTATATGATATGTATAAGGTATATATTAATGAATATGTTGTATACAGATATGTCGGACATGTCGCAAAAATAGACTTTTTGCTTTCAAGCACCACTGAAGTCGATTGTAAAAACATCTCGATCCGTTATGAGAGCTTCCCATTCGCAGCGGGCAAAAGCAAAGGAGCTGTCTTTGGCATCCCGTTGAACCCTGCAATGCCTCTTCCGCACAGCATTCTCAACTTGGTTCATGTATTATATCACATTACAACACATGTAAATGGCCTTATCATTTCATATTATGCTGTATTGTAATGCACTGTCTTCAGGCGGAGATGTACTCGGATCCGACATTCCCAAAAGCAACCGCGCAGTCGGGAACATCCACATGTAAGGCAAGCTTGTTCCACATCGCGTCCTCTCTATGTTTTGTTCCCTGAAGCTACGCAGGACAGACGTGTTCCGTAGTTACCCCAAGCCCTTTCTGCATCGATTTGAATCAGCCACGCGACCTGCCAGATGGTACAGGTGCAGCACCCCACGTCGAGGGCACCGGAGCATCCTGCATGTCGAAACCGACACCTAACGGTAAGGCCGGCATGCCTATTGCAGGGACTGCCTCCTCCACGCCGATCTCGCTGGCTATATCAATGTCGTCGTAGTCGTCCCTTTCCTCCTGATTTTTTGAAAGTCATCGAGTTCACTTTCCATCCCACCATGCCCTCCCAAACATGCCCGGACTCGATTGTGGGCTTACCTCTTCCTCCGCGCTGCAGGTACCAGGATCTGGAACCTCCCCGCGAACAGTCATTCACCAGCCATTGCAAAATCGCCGAGATTCAGCATGTTACTCTGGAATCATGCTTGGCTGCATCTGGCATATAGCTCAAGGCGAGCCTCCAATTCACGAGGCTCGGCACTCCTCTTCTGGCCTCGAGAATGCGCACTATCTTTGAAGGATCTCGTTCGCTTATCCCTCTTCGGCAGCTTACAGGCTTGCGGGAGCCCGTGTTGCAAATGCACGGTCTCCGCCGGATCCGGCGAAACAAGCGAGCCCTCCTGCGACGGCCCAATCAATTTCGAATCAGGTGATCGCTTCAACACCGCTTTGGGATGCTCTAGAATCCACGTGAAACACAACGCCGACTCAGCCACTTGCTGAGTGATGAACTGGTGCAACATCAGATCAAGCGCTCGATCTGAAGATGTGCAGCCCATGTCACAAATGAAAGAAAGGGTTGTACATTCTTGTTTGGTATGGCTCAATCTCACCTGGTACATAGACCCCTTGCTGGGCCTCCTCCATGGTTACCTTGCGTGGCTCCGGTGGAGGAGGCGGAGGGAGCGACTGCTCTTGGAACTCGTTCCCATTCCCTGCTGTGCTCGGCTCTGCCTTCGGGCCGGAGGTTGATCCCGGGCCCCCCGGACCTCCGGCGCCTCCGGAGCCGGTTTTCGACTTGGCCTGTCTTGGCATGCCTTCTTTGGCTGAGTCGGCATTGCTCAGGCCACGTCGGGAAGATTGATCAAGGCCTGGTGAATCAGCTGACTCCTTGGCTCTTTGCTTGCATGTGCATATATGCCTCTTCCCAAAAAACCTTGCTTTTTATGAAAGGCAACGAACGGGATAACATATAAGATATATAAGACACCTCAAGTACCTACTGCTACTGCTAACGGTAGGGCGACGACGACTTACCACTTCTAAAAGGGTGGAAATGGAGGGGGGGGGATGGGGGGAGGAGCGGAGTGGGTGGCCTGGGGCTGGGACAGCAAAAAGCAAAAGCCTCAAAGAGGCAGACTACGCATTTTGCATCTCCAGGCTCGGCGTCCGCTGCTTTGCCAATTTCTTGGGCCGCCGTTGAATTGCCTTCTGCATCTTTGGCAGCTAGGAACTCGTTGCTCTCGTCGGCCTTCACTGCTTGAGCGACGAGAAACATGCATGTAGCACCTCTGGTCGATATCCTTGAACACCCAACCCTTATAACTGCCCCTAGTACAAAGCCCCATAATAATGGAGTACAGAGCCCTCAACGCAAACATTTTGCTCTTCGGCAGGCCTTTTCCTGCTGGAGCTTCCTCTGTGCAGCGCGGAGCTCAAGCAGATCCACAGGTCCATCCTCCTGGCATGGTGCGATTCTGATTCATGTCGCCAGCTAATATCTGGCTTCAGGGCTCTTGCTTTTTTCTCGGGGTGATTCAGGATTCATACAGATACTATCTTACTACAACATAATATACTACGATATAACACGATATAATATGATCACCTGTTCCCGAGGCCGGCCTGACCGTACCTGTCGTGGGGGCGCGGTGGCGCTTGCTTCTTCTCATCCACGGGCGTCTTCTCTTCTGTTGGCGCCACCTTTTGCAAGTCTTTCAGTGCTTGCAACCCGAATTCCTCGTCCTAGCCCTAAAGAGATACTCTTGTAATCGTCATCCTGATACAAACCGTTCGAACAGACCTGTACTGGGGGCTGGGCAGGCTGATCCAGGTGCTCTGGTTTGCCATCTGGGCCAATCGGCGGAGGTTTCTTGTAGCCAGAGTGTGGAGGCAGCAGCGGCCCTTCCGGTATTTTCAGTTCCTGGGATCAGATAAGGGCATATAAAGGCATATATATATATATATATAGAGATTTACATAAAAAGGGTTGCCGAAAGGCTATTAAACATGTTGCCAGCAGGGCTACTAAGGCTACTACTAGGGTTTCCCATGAAGGTGCACTTCTTGCCTATCTCACACGCGTGACAAATGCCTCGCTGGCAAGTGGCAGGCTCCTTTGGCGGCGTTTTTTGGTCGGCGAGGATGGCTTCTGCGACCTTCTCCTCCAAAGCTTTGAAGCTCGTCCTGAAAACTGGTGCGCTAGTGAAACTCGAAACGAGCGACAGCTCGCATTGCATTCACATTAATACAGTACCGTGACAGTTTAGCACTGCCTGGAGGTACATCCCCACAAGAAGTCGTGAGCTGTGGGACGTCCAGGCGTAGCGATCGGGTGCGAACACCAGCCTCATCATGGAAGAGCCAAGATATCTCGGTCGGGAGTTGCTACATGACATTCGTGTGAGTTTTTGGTGACTTCTTCTGCAACCAGTGGAGAGCTTATGTGAAAAGACCTGCCAGAGCGACTTGCAACTTAGACCAGGCGGCTCTGCCAGGAAAGGTCAGATCGGTGAATGCAAGGCGCGTCGCCGAGCAGTCCTGCGTTTGCTCATCTCAATCTGCCTAGTCTGCATCTCCTTCGCAACATGGTCGGCCAAATGCGTGCAGTCCTGTGTTGCTGCTGTGCCGGGCTAGGAGCGACATGCTGCACCGGCATAACGGAGTTTCGAACTAGGCTCGACTACGCAAAAGTGGGTCCAGGGCACTGAAGTACTTTGGACGAAGTGCCGCTTCGCTTTGGAACTTGTCCATGAAATTAAACAGCTGTTTGAGCTTGAGACGGGAACCAGCGAACCGCGCACATGTGGACAAGATTGCTTGCATGACTTCGCTAAAGCTCTCCCAGCGTGAAATTCATTCCTTCTTTCCTGCACCCGAGGCTGTAGCCGAGAGCATTGCTTGCATCTCTGCCATGGTCCCAAAGCGAGGCAAGATCAGCTTTGGTAAGAAAGTCCTTAGATCCGCAGTAACCGTTGCAGGACAACTCAGCTACGTCCTCCAGTAGCTCTGGGGGAGCCGAAAAACGGAAATCGAGCTGGTTGAAGACGACGCAAACAGGTGCAGCTGAAGTTGGTCTTCAATCTCATGGCAGCCAAGCGGCGAGGTGCTCAAGGTCGGCAGGATCCCTGGGTGTCCAAGTCTTGTCACACCAACATGAAAGGACTCAAATGTTAACATCCAAAGACGTAAAGAAGAACAGAAACCAAGACTGCTGATGCCTCTAGGCCCGGCACTGCAAGAAACTCCAGGAGGGCGGAACGCTCTGTCCCCCCAACAGTGTTGCTTTCGAGTAGATCCGGGCCTGCAAAGAAACATACGACTCCAAGAAACTCACACGGACCGAAATTTTCAGAAAGGACTTACTACTCATTCGGCCAAGCCCTGCCCGCAATGGATGATAATGGATGATGTGGCGGTCACCGAGTGCCCACAGCCTACTCAATAAATGATCTGACATCGAAAGCCTGCGTTCGGCTTGCCATGGCCCAGGTCTGCACCTCTTCGCACGTCAGGAAGGTCCTTAGAGACATCATGAGACAGGTTTGCATTTGAGCAACACTCGACAGCAAACTATGGTCACTGGCAGCCGAAGCTCCAAACCCGATGGGGACCAAGTGGGACCGGATCCTCAGAGGGCCGGGTCCGGCAGTCCATCGGACGTCCCATCACTCCGTGCAAGACTTGCCTCGATGATGTCATCAGCATCAAGGTCGTCAGTCCTCATTCTCATCAATGCGGGCGCTGATCTGTACTCGGTGCCCACCATAAGAAGACACATGATGCGGTAGGCAGCAACCTCATGTCCTTTGCCTGCAAAGCTTCAAGTCCAGCCTGTCATCCATCGCTTCCAGCTCCTCTGCAGCTCTCTCCTGCAGCACACACCGCAACATCAAATGCAGCATAAATCATAGACAGTGCAACAGCAGCTCCCCTTGGGGATCGCTGCTGCGACACGGCGGCAACAGCCATCAGGGCGATAAAATGAACTTCAGGAACACCGTTGCAGGTCGCCCAGCCGTACTGTTCAGATGCCTGGGTCTCCGATGAGACTATGTCGGGCTGCGGGTAGGTCATCTCGCCCTGGGACATTCAGGCCAGATCGGCTAGATGCTCTGTCGCTGCCTCGAAAGTCTCACCCGTTTGCTGGCCTTCGCAGCCAGGCGCCCCACACCTGCAGCCGTCTCTTTGGCTGTGGCGGTCTTTTTCCTCGGTGCCACGGAGAGATGGCAACTGGATACAGTGGGTTGCACTGATTGTACTGATTGCTGAAGGACTTTCAGTCTTGCTGGGCGATTGCTGCGCGAAACTGCAACATCCCTCCTTCGGTTCAATACATCGGACTCTTGGACCAACATCGACAGCGAGAGCCACAACGCTGTCGAGGGAAGAGAAAGGGCGCGGATCGGGACTGCAAGGAAACACCACAATGCTGTGGAGACTACACACTGTCGAATTATACAACTGGACTCACGCAACGTGGCAGGACAAGGCCAAATTGACAGTCGCCGGCGCACGTTCTAAGTTGGCAGTCGAGGGACTTCTTCTTGCGCTTGGGAGGAAGCGTAGAATCAACCGGCATGTGCTCAGGTGGCAGGGAAATGTCTTGGCTGGCGCTCACCGCATCAGCCAGCGTCTGCCAGGGATTCACTCGCTTTACGTCCATGGACATCACGACCCTTCCCTGTACCGGTCCTTTGTCTATGGCTATGGGATCCCCTTCTATATATATATATACACACATGTATATGTATACACAAACTTAATGTGAAAACACATATTATACATATACATATATACACAGTTATGTACTTGTCTATCTGTGATTATCTATGTACAGTTGTTTTGATATTCATATTTGTTATACGTCTTGATGTTTACTTTTAGATTCCTATTTACTAGGCTGGCCGTTTGAAACACCTGAACCATGTTCGCAAATAAGTTCCTCTGAAGCCCAATAAGGATACACTTTAAACGTCCCAAAGGCCTACCTACCTGTAGTTTAAATACTTCTACAGATTTAGCCATGCATTCTACATACACAGCATGTTATGCCGTATGCTCTCGCCAGCGGCCCTCGAAAGGCCTTAAACACTACGGGTTTTGGGGTACACTATACTAAGTAGTCATAATCAGGACCCCCCCCCCCCAAATAGTATAGGTAGTTGTCATTAAGAATTACCTATACTATTTTGGGGGGCTCCTTATTATAACTACAGTATAATGTTAAGGCCCCTATATTAAACACTCAGAGGGCCTGCTCCAAGGTCTCCCCAGTGAGGCTCGTGAGCCGACGCGAAGGGGACCAGTTGACCATGGCAGCCCTCGCCCTGACGCGCAGAGCTGCGATGTCCGGCCTGTGATAAAGCAAGTATATAGCATGTAGTCATGTGTATATATATATATATCATATATATATATATATATCTATATCTATCATATATATATATAGCAGATATAGCATACTCGTAAAGTATATAGCATATGGTATATAGTTGTGTACAGAGGGCCGCCTATAGCCTCCCGCCCCAACTTTGCGCCGTACTTGCACACGTTCCTCCATACTGCATCTTCCAGCACGTCCTGGTCCTCGACCCTCAAGTTCGCGCATGCCCGCCGCATGTTCGGCCCAACCGAATAACGGCCATGTTTGGAGTATCCAGTTCGGGATAGCATCCATGCCCGACCATTTGGAAAACATCCATGCCTCTACCCCCCCCCCCCCCCCCCCGAACCGCCCACATTCGGAGTGCTTCCCGAATGGGGAAAGCATCCCCTACTTGCGTCCATGCAGAGTGCATCTCACTTGGAAAGCACGCATCGCAGCAAAGATGCGCCAACTCGTCAAAATGCATGCAGATGTCAGGTGGCAGTTGCTGCAAGGGCCTGCTTTCTTCTGAGCAAAACAGCAACTCAAGACTCTCTTACCAAACGGTTACAAGACTAATAAAATCTTAAGACTCTTCCTCATCAGGCTCTCCTGTCCTTTGCAGGACTTCATCTTAGAATCAAGAGTAATCCACCTCAACATGACTGAGTTCCAACAAGTAGCAAGGCCAGCTTGTACTGTAAATTCATAAATTTTCGCCTTGCCCGGACATCTAAATCACTGCGCGGCGGGCAGACGTTGGGGTGCAGTGGGGTCTAGGGCTGGGGGAATGATACCGGTAAGGGAAGTGTAGGAAGATGCAGGTCTCATCCCTTTCTGCCGGCCCAGCCTTTGGTTCTCGGCATCCAGGACGTCTGCAAAAGCCAGGGCCAAGAAGGGAGCGTACTCCATCCTTGAGTTGGTAGGGTTTAGGAACGTAGGTTTTAGGGTTTTAGGGTTTCGGGTATCGGACGCTGTCGGTAATGTGGCCGAGCAGCAGCACGAAGGACATAAACGGAGCGGTCAGGCCATGCCAGCGATCTTGGAGAGAGTGCCCTTTCAGCACCAACAAGCCTGGAGCACACCGTGCTACGTATGTAATGAGAGCGAGAGAGAGGGCGACTTAGCAAGGCATCGCGGGAGAGCGAGGGAGGTGTAGAGCCCGAGTTCTGCGTCCAGGCTGCGGATCAGAGCTGTGAGTTGATTGATCCCGCCACCCAAGTAGAGATCGGTGATCAAAGCCGACTCCTCCGCTACGTCCAGGTATGCCTCCGCCAGGAGTTTGGGTTTCGGATGAAATCGGGCTTGTTTGGGTCTAGGACTAGGGCAGTGCATGGAGAAGCAAAGTAGACATAGCCGAGCAACGCTCAAGTGGAACAAGTTGTTGGTAGGTGCCCTCGGATCACCTCGAAACTGCAGGGATGCGTGCTCAAAAACAGGCGTCGGACAGGCTGTCCGCCGCAGTCTGCCGAGCGACTCTGCTGCCTGCTCGTGCTGAAGCTTGCCTGAGGTGACTGGCCAAGGCCCCATTTAACCCCACTCGGGCCGACTGACCAAGATTCGTCAACACCCTGGAGGCTACCTTCGTTAATCAGCCAAAGGGCCAATGCCCGCTCCTCAGCCTGCAGCATGCCTTGCATGCAGCATGTTTATTTTTCAATTTCATGCTCGTATTTGGCTCTGACATGGCAGGCTCATTGGATCAAGGTAGGAGAGTCATCGACTTCGTAGCGTTGTGATGTGCGGAGTGCCGCTCTGTCGCAGGACAACGCTGATCGCAGGTTGGCCACAAGCTCACTTGTACTGCAGCCACACAGGTGTTTTGCAGGTCCTAGATTGACCAAGCGTCGGTAGTGCCCCTTGCACACACCCAGCTCTGTGGCGTACTTCAAGTTCGGCACGGGCTTGTTGCCTCGCCGCACAGCAAATGCTGATTGGTTACGCAAGCACAGGGATGGCATGCTCGTCCTGATACTATCAAACTCTCTCACAGCGTCGACGATTTGTTTCGGAAACGACCTGGACACTATCTCTGCGAGGTATGCTTGCAGCTTGGCAGCAAAGGCAGCAGTGCTCGGGAGAGCCCTTGGCATTGGAAGTCTCCCATGCCCAGCGAGATCGCTCCTCCGCCAAGACTTGGTCAAAGTCCTCGGCGCCTCCCTTGGCGGCTCTGTCTTTCCTGCGGAGACATGTCATGTGGGAGTGTCCAAGTCACAACGACGGATGCATCCCTCTAAACGGCATATCCGCCGTGTGAGCAAACGCCAGCTTGGTGCACGTCAGCTACAGCCCGAATCGGTGGCACTGGGGCTGTGACGATTTCAATTTATTGCCGTCACATTGTTCAGTTCTTGAGCTTCTTAGGTTAAAGTATGTTAAAGTCTTAGGTTCGCTCACACAGCAGCCAGAGAGATTCGCACGTGATTCTCTGAAGGGGGTTGCGACATGTCTGAGCAAACAAAGCTTCCGTCGCTTTGGAGACCGTCTCTGCGAGCGACAAGGCTTCGTTGCCGGTGCCTGGAGGCCACAGCCAGTGGCAATGCTAGGGACACCTAGTTGTCCAAAGCCGTTTTGCGCCCGCCTTCGTCAAGCTCTTCGTGTCTGAAAGTGACCTGCTTCGCTCTTCACTATCTGGTTCATCCTGTTCTTCAATTTCCTCAGCTTCATCCTGACCACCCTCTTCCCCGTCATCCTCCTGCATGTCGTCCTCATCCGCTTCCTCCTCCTGACCTTCGTCCTCTTCATTGTTTGAAGCGTCAGCTTGAGCCTCCTCTTCCCTCCACGCCTCTTCACCCTCCTGATCTCCTTGCCATGTTGTCTCTTGTCTTTCGGCCTCTGCATCGGGCTCTGCTTTGGCCTGCGGATCCGCCCCCTTTGGACAAGCCTCGGCAAGCTCTTAGAGGGACTTCGCGTGCAAACAACCTATAAGCAGCTGGCCTTGTTTTTTCTCAGACTTTCGCTGCGGCCTTCGTCCTTTGCCGGAGCTCATGGGCAGTTTTACACACAGCCAGGTCAGTCGGAAGACGATGCCCAATCGTTGACTTCAAACATGCGGGTGAGGTGTTGTGTTGGGCTAAGATATGCTGAATGAATATCGCCAAGCCGCACTTGGCCCTCTTTCTTGCTTCTCCCTTGGTGCCTCGAGACTGGCTGAGCTGATTTCTAGATCAGATTTGTTCTCCAACTCGTGGACGGTGGGCCTTGGAGCGCTCGCCCGAAGTGGACGGGCACGGGCCTGGCCATTCGCACATACGCTCATGCCCTACGCATGCCACGACATGCTTGCAAGCTGAAGGCCCATTTGGCCGACCGGTCGCCTTGTGGGGATGCCGGTGGCGCTGTGAGCCCTGTGGGCCGCGGCCGCACCGTCATCAGTGCAGACGGAGCCGGTGCAGGCACCGGCGCCGGGGGCGCTGGGCACGCAGCAGCGCTGCCTGGAACGGTTTAGGAAGGCTGCAACGCTTCTCAGCCCTGCATGCAGTCTCGTAAATTCTTCAAGCTCACTTCACCGAACAGGGTCGTGATGTTCATAACACTGTAAAGCTTCTCGTGTGCCTCCCCGGGCTTTGGATGACGAGGCCACAAACGGTGGCTCGGCCAGCACTTTTGCCTGACTTAAATCTATCCGATTCGGTGTCAGTCAAGCCAAAGGCGAAAGGCGTGTGCAACACTTCAATGGCCTGTGGGTGGCTCGGCTGAGTGCAGCGGCGGAGATTGGCTTGCAAGCCCTGTTGATGAGAAGGAACGACCTGCAATTTGCTTCACTTCTACCCTCCATGCGCCTCCCTAGCCCAAGCCCTGGAGCCTGTAGACTCTGGTCTTGGCCTTTGAAGGCGAAGCGCCGACTGCCGTGCCATGCCTGTTTCAGCTCTGCTGCTGCTGCAGCTGAGCGAAAATTCAGCCAGGCCTCCCAGCGGTTTCAGGGTTTAGGGTCCACGATTTTAGGGTTTCGGGTCCAGCTCCTCAGTATTATAGGCGTCGTAGATATTTTTGTGGCCCGAGCATAGGTTGTGCCAGGCCTGACCACGACCAACGCCAGTCTTCCAGTCAGCCGGCAAACTGCAATAGTCCTTACAGGGCTTTTTGACACTCACACCCGGACAAAGCCTGGTAAGGTCTAGGGTTTAGGAGTAGCCATGTGGGAGTTGCAGCAAACAAACGACCCACGGTTTTCCAAGGAGAAAGGCTCATGCTCGGCGCGCAATTTTGGGAACTCCATTCCCAGGACTCAGTGAAACAGGATCTGATAATCAGTTGCTGAGCCGACACTTAAGTGACTGGAATTACGACCGCGGGTGGGTCAGCATGCCGTAGCACTAAACAGGCGATCCGTTCTGGTGCACACTGATACAAGAGCTAGTATAGGGGACCTATATGGTATTACACACAGGGAGAGAGAGAGAGAGAGATATATATATATATATATACAAATACATTGCAGGGCTCAGAAGACGCTCAAGAGCTGAGCGATAGCTGTAGCCCCAAAGCACCGGAGCTGGTGCGACGGAATTGCCCCGAGCCATCGACACGGCCAACTCGCCAGGGTGGCTCGTCGCCTTCGGCGTCATCGTTCTAAGGCCAGACGGCAACTACGTGTCGGAACACACCCAGGGGGCAGAAGACTGGCACTCCTCTTACGGCATCACGCCACCCCGCAGGGCCAGAAGGAGTCCATCGCTTGGCAGATGGGCAAGACATGGAAAGGCCAAAAAGGACAAAACAACAAGGTGGCTGGCACTCCTCCAATGCTGGTGGACAACACTGGCAGTACTGGAAGGGAGTAGAGAGCCCGCGCGCCCCTTGGCGCAGGGGGCAGACCCAGTCTGCACATCGCACTTCTTTCCTGGATGTTGCAGTCCCACCGAGGGAGGAGTCATTACCCCGGAAAGAGCCTGGAGACTTGCAGAGTCTCCAGAAGGTCCTCACTACGGCGAGAAAAGCGGAACTCCGTGTCAAGAAGCTTCATGCGGAAAGGGAGCACATCGACGACAAATGGCAGCAATATGCAGCCGACCTCAAGGCTGCCTACGTCAGGGAGAAGCAGCGCTACTTCCAGGTCCTGGAGCGCAATGGCAAGGACCTGCGAGATGCCCTGGATCACCAAGAGTCTGCAAGAACTACAGTTTGGAAGGTTGCGTTGGGAGAAGCAGAGATGCCCAAACAGCCGCCCTTGGCAGATGGCTTTGCCCAGGAGTGGGACGCTCTGAAGGAAGAATGGGACAACGACAAAGCCGACGAGTACCAGGGAGTTTTGTATCGAGCCATGAATGCCGGCTCGGAGAAGCATTCGGCAACCACGCCGCAGCATCCGAGAGCGAGAGCACCAAGATCACCGGCCCTGGCTGGGGCCCCATCTGCTGGCGCGCACAAGGCACCTACAGAGGCGAGTGCGATGGCAGTGGAGCCTCCCAATTTCGGCAAAGTGCCCAAGACCTCACCCAGACATCCTGGACAAAGGGAGCCAGGGGCACGACTACCGACTTCTGTTGTGCCTCCCACAGGGTCTCGATCAAAGAGGCAGCCAAGGAACCGCCTGCGAAGGTTCCACCTGGCAAGAGTTTGGGGGAAAAGCTAGATCAAGTCAGAGCCGCGGAGGGTGTCCTCTTGCAGAGCCCCCTCCGACGGACCACCCAGCTCCGTCAGGAGAAGAGCAGAGGACAGGAACAGCCACGCAGCCCTTTCGAGGGGCCCGAACTGGGAGGAGGGAGTTGACCAAGTCCTTCTTGGAGGACGATCCGGATTTGGATATCAGCGAGTCTGGAGACAAAAGCGACTTAGCAGATCTGGAGTGACTGTTCTGGCTTTCTGCCCCTTTGCTGGAGGAGCAAGTCACGAGCCTGTTGTCCGGCCCTGTGCTGGTGTGGACTTTTCAGCAAGTCCATACCAACCTGGGTGGTGGACCTGGATCGATGTTGGCTGGCTTCTTAAGCAATGGGGCGGTTTTCTGCAGACTGAGCGGGCTGGTCCTGAGAGTTTCCCAGTACAGTTTCTGCTGCAGCTTGTACAGCTTTTCTCTAGTTTCTTGTCGTTCCCCAATCCCGACGGCCCTTCGAAGACCTATCCTTGCTGCTCTTTCTTGTTCGGCATGCATTGGGTTTTTGCATTGCTCGGACACGACGAGCTGTCGTCCTCTGCCGTTCCCCACGGGCACACTTTTCGTGTCGCGTTGAGGACGGCCTCGACACACAGCGGCCCAAGGCCTCCATTGCCTCCATTTGAACATTGCACGAGTGGGTGCATCCACTCTCTGCCGAGCTCCAGTGCGCGGCCTTTTTCAGAATGTGGCTCTTCATTTTCCCTCCTTTGGACTTCAGCTGTCATTCCTTGGCAGACAAGGGATTCCGCAGACTGTAGAGGGAGCTCATGTCATGGACAATTTTGGTATTGCAGCTGCTTCACCTCCCGTTTGCAGCTGGCACCAGTTTCGGGTGGAGCCCCACAGGAGTCAGGGCGTGTCAGCGCCGAAGAGACGGATCGGTGGTTCTGGGCCGTCCGCGACCGACCCTGAACTCCTAGCAGAACAGTGGCTAGTGAGTGGTGGAGCCTTTCTGCTCCCACTCTATAAAAGCCCAGCCTGCATCCTCTGCCTTGTGCTATGCGGTGTATTGGCACAGGTCCCAGGCCGCCTCAGCCCGTTGCATTGGCCGGTTTCTCTGCCTTTTAGAGGGGCTCCTATGCTTTGCAGGTACAAGTGTAGGCACCACCCAGCCGCTGGACTGGAGAGCCCCCCGACATCCAAGACCACACAAATGCTTGTACCGTGGTACTTTTGGGCGAGTAAGGAGAAGTCTTGTTTGGTCTGCCCTTTTTTGGAGTATACCACAATGTGTATGGGCAGTTCCCACGCAGACTAAGGAAGCTATGAGGGTTCTGGACAACGCTGCCGCTCGCATTCCTGACCGTTTCCCGGATTGCTTCCCAGACGATACTCGTACAACTACAAGCCCAGAATTCTGCGCACTTCCAATTGCAAGCGGAACTGAGCCGCCCCCCTCATCTTTGCCATGGCTAGGAATTACGGTCCTCGCGGCTGGCTATCAGCCCTCGTATCTTGCCATTGCATATGACAGAGAGGAGGGCCTTGCCAGGTTTCTGCAGTCCTTGCGCGTGAACAGGAACGACGTCCTGGCCTGGACCGTATCTCTGCGGTATTGCCCCAGCGCTTCGCAGGGTACGGTTTTGCATTGTCTATTCTCATGAAGTAGACCGCCGCAATGAAGCTGCAGTTGTGGTTGATCTTTCAAGTGTAGGAGGACACTACTATGCGACTTTACTGCCGAGCAGTATTGATGTTGAGGACTTTCTGTCCTCTGTGCTCCTGCAGCTTTGTCTGTGGATTTCAACTTCCGATGCACCGCACAGAAATCAGGACAATGTCTCTCTCGAGCATGGCGAAGTCCTCACCGTGCTGTGGGACTATCACAACCTCAGTCCAAGATAGAACTTTCCCAGCTGCTTTTACCTGCGTGTCAATGGGATGTACTGGCACACATGCCCACCTTCGGACAGCAACAAGGGTCTCTGGTTCTTTTTGAGCAAGAGACTTTCAGTTTTCGGGAGCACTTCTTTCCCAGACTCGATCTGCGAGCAGCGCTCAGCACAGCCTTGAAGAGACAAGCCACAGACCTGTGTGTGTATACCACAGCTAGCTGTCCAGCCAATGAATTTCAGGGGGCACATTGCCACCATGTTGTCTTTGTGCTCGAAGTTGATCAGGAGCAAGAGTCCATTGAGGACCCTGTGCCTGGCCCTGCAGGCGCCGACCCTGGCCAGCCATGCCTCCTGGGTCTACGATGCTCGGGGGGACTTGGACTCCTGGAAACAACCTTTGGCACAGGACGCCGTTGCGCACAGTCTTGCAGACGATGTCTGTCTCCTCTATCCGCAATGCATACCGGTCACCCCGCAACTCTCCACCCAGTGGGGAGCCATGCTTGCTGTTCCAGGCTGGGTCACCGATGAACCTTTGGTAGTGTGCGATCTCAGGGCCCCATTCCAAGTTGTTACGGACAGAGCAGGTCTCCTCACTGTGTTAGGGATTCCCAGTGACAGTGATGTGTCTGTGTATCCATACGGCAGAGCCGATCCCTTACCAGACGGGGAAGACCTTGAAGCCAGAACAGGCGGCAGCATTGCTTTTCTTACGAATGACCAGAGGCCTGGTTACCGGCCGGCGCTCGCCGACATGTTGCAAAGCCCAGCCGGATGGAGCCCGGCAGTTGCACTACCAAGAGACCTTGGTGGCAGCATGGAGGCAGTGAAACCATGCCCCAGGGTCGCACGTACAGGACCTGGCCAGGGAGTATGGATTTCGAGAGCACTACACTACAGTGCAAGGAACCAGTCCAGGATTACAGACGCTGTAGTCCAAGGACACCTCTGCCGAGGCGTTGCAATGCTGTCAGGGGATATGTCCAATACCCCTGTCCTGCCGGGCCGCCTGAGGCCAGGAGAGTTTCTTGCAGTTGTAGACTGCCGCCGACCCATGCTTCAGGGATGGTATATTCTGCAGGTCATTCAGGGAACCAGGAACATGGAGTCATTCGGATCTCATTGAGGTCTTTTCCACATTTGCCCCTGATGGGTATCAACCACAGGTCGACGGCGCCCAGTATGTGTCCAATACTACATCTGATGAAAGCAGTGAGCCAGATGGGAACACGTCCCATCCCGAACACAGCGAGTCCTCTAGACACCAGAGCCCCGCAGGACATCCGCAGGCCGGAACATTTTTGGACGGAATAGTCGTAGCAGGTCTCCTATAGAAGGACTCCATCGCCACCCGACGTGGGTACCCTGTCCTTTTTCATTGGAGCACCAGAGGTTTTGCCTCGGATCAAAGAACCCGTTCAATGCTTGACCGACTGTGCTTGGTCAGACCTTTGTGTGGCCGCCGAACAGTGGGTTGAATGTGAGCTTGCAGGAGTGCCCAGCGCCACAGCATCTGCTGCCAGAAACCTCACAAAGTCCCACCGCATCCCGCATCAGGTTCCTCGCCAAGGCACAGGCCAACAGGCTGAGCAGGATCCTATACGACGCCTCACAGCTCAGCTTTACGACCACGATGAGGTAGCCGAAGGGATGCCTACTTGGGAGGTCCCCGCGCCACAAAATCTTGCTGCTGTGGAGATGGCAGCTGACCCTTTCCGTGCAATTTTCATTGTGATTTCTCTCGACACCTGTCCTGAGTGGATAGAAGTCGAGCTCAATGCACCAAGTGGCCCTCCATCCGTGTTGCTGCAGCAAGAGACAGCAGCAGCAGCAATGCATTCCCAGCCTTGCATGAGGTTCATCCGCAATCCTGCCAGGGATATGCTTTACTTCTTGCCAGCCCTGCATGGCATTTCTCCGGAGCCTTGGTTGCCTTCTTACACCAGTCGAGTGGATGATTGGTGTTTCTTCGCATTGTGTAGCGGAAGCTATGGATCTTGCCTCCATACTTACCGTTGCCGAGGTAGAACCCTCCGCTCATGTATTGGTCTATGTTAGAGACATGCCACGGCCGCTCCCTCCCAATCAATACCAGTGTGCAACTTCAGACCGGGGACCTTGTCATGATCACTCCCATCGATCACCAGGTGCTCGTCCTTGCCAGCCTAGAAAACATGCTTCTGTCTAGGGTTGGCTGGCTTGCTAACATTGCCCTGCCTGGCACGTATGTTCGTAGACTGTGGATTCTTACAGAAGTTGATGCATTTGGCCATGGAGTGACTCGTGACGTGCTCACCTCAGACGGCACCTTGCACAGGCCATTGAACGTGAGGTCAATGAGGTTGCAATCCGCACGGCCCGCCCGCGTATATTGCAGATCACTATGATCGTGGCTTGCTCTCCAGCACAGTGACGCTAGCAGTTTCGGCCGGGGCGGTCTCAGGATATGGCCGGCAGCAGCCCGTTTGTTTCCTTGACCTACGTCCGTTGCTGTATGGCATCACTTGGCAATTTGCTCCAGGAGGTAGCCTTGACCACAATGCATTAAGGCGGCATCTGAATTCACTTTGTCCCGCGGACCACGAGGTCACTCTATCCAGGGCAGGTGTTGACATCCCTCCTGCCATTCCTGCCATGACCAGAGTCGGTGTCACTGATTGTGATAGTTTTGTTGTCAGGGTTCAGCCCCACAACCCTGAAAGCATTCCATTCACACCTGCCAATCCTGATGGGGACCCTGACGAGGAACCGGGGGATCCTGACATTGAGGATCTGCCTAGCCCACCGAACCTCTCTGATGATGCGGGAACCGAAGGAACCAGCCATCAAAGACCTGAACTCGCAGCGCCAGCACATGGCGGCACTGCCGGAGTCCAGCATGGACACCATGACACGCACGCTGTCAACACGAGAACTTCTAGGCACCTGCGCTCGGGCCCGACAGGCTGTGGTCTTGCCTCAGTCGAAGTTGGCACTGCCACACCAAGCAGTCTCCGCACTTGCAGTGAGAGTACAGTTTGCCGGCACAAGGGCCAAAGTTGTGTTGAGTGGACCAGGGTTGCAGTTGACATGTGGGATGCCATTCGTTTTGACTACGCTATTGACGATAGCCAGTGGCTTTCCACCCCTGTCCTCCTCTGTGTCTTCCTGTGCCTTAGCCTCGCCCTCTGCCTTGCATGGAGTGCTTATGACTCAGCCGTTGGGCAGTGCCATCGGCCCCTCAGGAGCCAGTCACCACCTTTACACAGCAATCGCCACTCCAATTCTGAACGGGAACAAAGTCGCCAAAAGCCAAGACCGGGGGCACGGCCTCGGGACAGCGATGAAGGTGGAAAACAACAGTGCCAGCCTAGGCCTACTGTTTGTCGCGGGGTCAGTCTGTGTGGACCATGGAGTGTTAAATTCTGGGTCTGGTTCGTTGTTGCACTACAAGGTGTTCGTGTCGCCGCGGCAATGCATTTTCCCAAAACCCTTGGCTCCTTACCACATGCCACAACCAGACTAAGATCCACAGCAGGTTGAGGACCAACCTGGCATAGTGGGTGCGTGTACACACAGTGGGTGCGTGTACACACGAGCAAGGACTGCCTGCCCTCTTGTCAAAGGGATACCCTACTGACCCCAACAGAGCTGTAAGCAGCGGTACATCACGCAGCAATGCTCATGGTCGAAGTGTCCCCACCCCCTGCAGGGCCGCAGCACGGGCGCTGATATTTTATGTTGCTGATGCCTCGGACTCCAGTGACGAGGAGTCCCTGACTGACGCAATGTTGGCGCAACCGTGCACTCTCCTGGAGCAGTGTACTCAACATCAGACTTGTGAGGCCCTCTTTCTTGCCTGCTTTGCTTGAGGTCCTTACAACGGAACTACAGGAGCGGAAGGCGCTGGAGATCCTCAACGTGCCTCCCTCCCGTTCTGTAGGGGATTATGTATCAGGAGTAGAACGCCACCACAATTGCTGATGTTCCGCTCTATGTAGGCAGGACCTTTGGTGACATCCGGCCGCTTCTTGAAACACCTTGGCCCCTCGAGACAAAGTACGATCCGAGGATCCGACTCCATCCTGCCACTGCACAGGCCATTTCTAACCCTGGCTTTCCTGTTTCAGAGTCTGCACTGCCGCTCTACATTGACATTTATACTGATGGAGCATATGATGGCAGCCGCAGTGCATGGGCCTTTGCGGATGTTGATGTCTGGCCTAATGGCCCAGCACTCAGAGGATGGCATCGTGGGCCAGTAGCCCTAACCGGAGATCCATACTATGTTGGAGCATGTGAGCACTCTGCGTTGGAAGCGGAATGCAGTGCGCTCTTCTGTGCTGTTGCCTGGACCCTACAACACCAAGGAGCAAGAGTCAGAGTCTGGTCTGACTCACTTGTTGCCGCAGGACAGACCAGCGGGAAGTGGGGCAGCAGTGTGGAGTCCGTGCTTGCTAGGGCATGCAGGGCCATTGCACAGGCAGCTGAGGCCGCGCGCGATGTGTGTTTCTCAACATTTGCTCATGTAAAAGCCCACAACGCAGATCCGTTCAATGAGCTTGTCGATGTTGTTGCGGGCAGCTATTTCCTCAATGCCTCCTGCATACCTTTGGCCTTCAGGCTACTTGCTTCTTGGGTCCGGGACGATACCATTGATTGGATTTGGCTTCTCATCGACTCTGTTCGCAATCCCTCCCAATGGCCGACCCAACAGGGCCCGGGTTTCATTGATAGGGACAGACGCTGCATTCACGCGCCAGCCTCTTCCAGAAGCATTCTGGGGTTGACCGATTTAGGTGATACAAGCCAAGCAATGTCAACACCGGCTTCCACGCTCCGCCTTAACTTCCAGGCTGTCTCCGTCAATGTTCAGACACTTGAATTGAAGAGGACCTTGAACGCGGCCTGCAAGGACGTGTCGCCTACGTACGGGAGCAGCTAGAAGACGAGGCCGTTTGTCTCATCGGTCTCCAAGAAACCAGGACAAAGGCCACAGAGACCGTTTCGTCAGTTACACATCACCGCTATACCTCCGCAGCGGACGCACCGGGTTGTTTTGGTGTGGAACTGTGGGTGTCCAGGACAGTGCCTTTTGGATACCATGCAGATCGCCCGCTTTTCTTTGAGGCAGGTGACTTTCGAGCACTCAGTTGGTCCCCTCGACACCTCATCATGAAGTGTATACGAGGAACCTTACAGTTCTTCGTCGTGGTGTGCCATGCACCGACTTCCGCCGATCCTCTGCGCGATGCTTGGTGGGAAAAATTATCCGATGAACTCCTTGAGTTTGCCACGGGATGTCCTGTTCTTATCCTGGGTGACCTGAATCTTCGCCTCATTCAGCCATGGGGCAACAGAATCGGAGGTCTATGCTGGGAAGCGGGAGCCGAACTACCTTCCTCCTTCTACCGCATCATGGGCATTCTTGACCTGTGGCCCCATCCACGTTCGTTGACTGTCATACGGGGCCGTCACACACCTGGTCCTCACCAGGACATGGCACTGTGTCCAGGATAGACTTTGTGCTCCTTCCTGTCGCATGGGGCGCCGGTTTACGTGGTTCAAGAGGTCTTTATGAGGTTGATTTCGGACAGGCTGGGGTTGACCACTTCCCTGTGGCTTGTGAAATAGACGCGCTGCTCCCAGTCTCTGCAAAGGGTAGCAAGCGTGTGCCCAAGATTGATGTGTCAAAGTTGCAGCATCCAGAGTCCAGGGATACTGTACATGCCATCTGCAAGACCATGCCCGCAGTACCGTGGCATGTAGATGTTCACCAACACTATGATGTGTTCGCAAGGCACCTGCAACACAATCTCGCTATTGCTTTTTCTTCCCAAAGCAAGAGGTGCAGGCGCCCCTTTTTCTCAGATACCACATGGGGCCTCCGACAACAAAGAGACCTCCATGGAAAGATTCGTAGGTGTTGCTGGTGGCGAGCTGGTAGTCGATAATGGCGTCGAAGCAGTGGTGGATGCCGCAAATGTCTGCGAGACGTAGGGGTGGTCCTGATGGCAATGGACCCACATGGCGCCAAATCCGCTAGTCATGTTCATGACCCTCTGGCTTCGGAGAAAAGGTTTGTGCGCTCGCTGCGCAGTCAAAGGCTCTCGATCAACTCCGAGCCGGCTTGAGCCGTAGCCATTCGACGGCACGAAACTTTGGCAGGAAGATTGGGGTTGCCAACCATCGCAAGAATGCAAACAAATTTAGCCAAGGTGCAAACTTCCCATCGAAGCCATCTTCACGTAATGCTTGGAGGACATCTCGCTGCAGTACCGTGCTTGGCAGATTCTTGACCAAGAGGCTGGTGATGTCCTGCACGGCATCTGGAACTGCAGGCATCCGAAATGGGCAAAACAGCATGCGACGCGTGGCGTCTTGCAAAGCAGTCGACTGGATCACAGGAAGCAGACTCCTTCTGGCTAGTTTCTGCCGCAACTGAGCGGGAAGTCTCAACCGTCTCCGGGGCTTGTACAATTGGCTTGGACCTCAAGCAGCGCGGCTGGTCAGGCCCGAATTGAATTCTGCTAGCCGCTGGCCGGAAGATTCATCGACTTCTGATGGCTGCTGTCAACCGTCATGGACACTCTTCAGAACCCAGTTAGTTCAAAACAAACCTGCATTCAACACCGGGCGATTTTTGCGTGCTTCCTGGGCAAACGACTTCAGTGGCCAACCTCTGCCCTCGAGCGGAGCTCTGCTCGAGATCCCTCTTGCAGCCGAGACACGGCACAGAAACAGGCTCCGCATCAGCTGGCTTCCTCGGGGCCTGCATGGTCATTTTGACAATTCACTTGTGAGCCATGTTGGGACAAGTCACTCCGATTGGCCCTCCTTTGCCAGTACATGTATGTATGCATGCAGGCATGCATGTATCTATACTCTCTCCCTCCACAGATGTACAGCAAAAGCACGCTTTCAAACCCTGGAAAGTTCCATCAGTGCACGCCGGCCTTCCGGGCGACACCTTAGTGCTCACGGACTTCCTCTAAGCCCTGAGAGGTCTAGGGCCCCCTAACCCAAACTGGTTTCGCCTACTTCCACAGAGCTTCTACCTGCATTCAGCATTGCTGACCGCAGAAATACATGTTCCCTTCAAACTACCGGCGGCTCACTGCGGAGAAGACATCTAATAAAGATATGTCAAAAAAGCCAGATGTAGCCAAGGGGCTGTTCGACGGAAGCGCCGGCCAATCGCCTAACAGTTCCATATTGGACCGTGCCCACATGCAAGCTGGCATTCAATAGTGTCGCGGTGGTGGTGGTGATGGTGGTGTTGGTGGTGTTGTTGGTGTTGTTGGTGCTGTTGGTGTTGTTGCTGTTATTGTTGTTGTTGTTGTCGTTGTTGTTGTTGTTGCTGTTGCTGTTGCTGTTGTTGTTGTTGTTGTTGCTGCTGCTGCTGCTGCTGCTGCTGCTGCTGCTGCTGCTGCTGTTGGTGTTGTTGTTGGTGTTGTTGTTGTTGGTGGTGGTGAAGCTGTTAGTCGCAGCAGTAGTAGTAGTCGTCGTCGTCGTCGTAGTAGTAGTAGTAGTAGTGGCAGTAGTAGTAGTAGTAGTAGTAGTAGTAGTAGCAGCAGCAGTAATAATAGTAATCGTAGTAGTAGTCGTCGTCGTCGTAGTAGTAGT